GTGTTAGAATTGTGGGTATTCCACTTGTCAGCCTAACATGGTTTTGCCTTTGTTATTCTATATTCTATATATTATATAGATAGAATAGATGATGCGACCTGCCCCAAAGTTACAGTTTATCGGCATGTGTGCCCCACGTTTTATGCTAGTAACTAGTAACTTCTCTCTATCCAATTTCAAAATAGACAACCGTTCTCTAACTGAACGTACGCAAAATCTCTGCAACCTTTCCCAAATTTCCTCCAAAATCGCGATTCTCGCTTCTAAATCTTCGTTCGGTTTCAATTTTCGTTTCTCCTCCTATAAAATTTTGTAATGTCAAGCTTTAATTTCGAGAAAAAAGTATTGAAGTTTTATGGATAAAAAGCACACTCTTAAGCGTGCAAGACCTTTCCATCCAATTCCATCTTTACCACATGTTTTTGATATTGATATAGATGTCAAAAATCCGTCAGTAAAAATAGTTGAGTCTTATATGAAAGAGGCTCCAAGTGGCCATGCAAATGGAGAATCATCTTCGGCAAATAGATCTCAACCAGTTAGTTTGGGAAGAACGCGTTCTCAAAGGGCTAAGGCACAAGATATAGATGGTTCTCCAAGTTCTAAGCAACAACAAATCGGTGTTTCTCAAATTGATCCGAAAATCCCCTTAAGTGGTCATGCAAATGGAGAATCCTCTTCAGCAATGTCAAATGGATCTGGAGCAGCTAGTTTGAGAAGAGCGCGTTCTCAAAGTGTTGAGGAATGCGAAATTGGTGGTTCTCAAAGTTCTAAGCAACGAGAACTCGATGTTTCTCAAACTGGTATTCGTCAGAAAAAACATGCCAAGTCCCCTTCAAAGGTAAATTTTTGAATGTATTCAAAGTTTTATGTATGTCAGAGCTTACTTTTTAAGAGCTAGTTCCTCTAATGTATACCATGTGATATACTTATATATGTGTGTCTATTTAAATACAGCTTAATACAAGTGATAAACCGAAACTTGGTATTCATTTTAATTCTGAGATTGTTAGCGATTTGAGAAGAAAATTATCAACAACACAAATTAGGATTTTTAGGTCAACTTGTTTTGGGTATTTATTGGATTTGCCTAGAATAGAAATGCACATAGTTGATATATTCTTTGTTGACGATGGAGGTTGAAAAGAAAATGAGGCTGAAATGTAGTTTGTTGTCAATGGAGTTAAGCTACGTTTTGGTTTATCTGAGTTTGCTTATGTCACTGGATTAAAATGTACCGGTGATGTACGGCTCCCTACTCGTCCTAAGGGAAAGAAGAATCATTTGATTGAAAAGTACTTTGTAGATTACACTTATTTTGCTAAGAAATACCTTTCGGATTGTTTTCTTAATAAAATATTTAAGTCTAACGAAGATGTTGTGAAGGTGGCAGTGCTCTATGTGATAAACTCCTTCCTCTTTTCTATTAAGAACCCCAAATTGGTTCATAGGGGTTACTTTGACTTGGTTGAGGAAGGTGATTATAACAAATGTCCATGGGGAAGAGTTGTATACTAAGGCTACCTTGGAATCGATGTCTGGCATTTTGGATAGGCGGGCACAATATTATCAGATTTCAAGGTTTCCTCTTGCTATTCAGATATGGTTATATGAATGTTGTGGATATGTGCGTAATAGTGTCGAGTTTTGGTGTGGGAATAAATATCCACGAATTCTTAGATGGAAGATCACAAGGCAGCTAAAGTTCGAGGAATTACATGAGAAAGTGTATGGTTTTCCTTCTCACGAGGTAAATTACTTTCTTGCTTTCCTATCTACTTTGCAGTTAATAGTGGTATACTCATTTGTATTTCTGGTATACCAAGTTACTGGTATAACTGTGATTTTTTTTTTAATGTAAAACAGTATACCATCAGTAAATACTTATTTTTTTAATAACTTATTAGATGTTTGTTTCAGTTAATAGTGGTATATCATGTAATACACTCATTTGTATTTCTGGTATACCAAGTCACTAGTATAACTATGACTTTTTCTTATGTAAAATAGTATACCATCAGTAAATACTTCTTTTTTTTACTAACTTATTAGATGTTTGTTTATGTAGTTGAATTTAAGGAATATGTCTCTTGACGACTTAGGAGAATGGCGCGAAAAATAATGTTGATCAGAGACACTCTAGTTCACTCTAGTTCAGATGATGACTTTGTTGATTATCCACCTGAGAGCTCAAAAAGGCGGGGCAAAAGGCAGGGCAAAAGGCTGGGGAAAGTTGCAGTTGACTTGAACAATAAGGTGGCAGATAATGACTTTGTCGATCCTCCACCTCAAACATCAAAAATGAAAGTCAAAGCTGCAAATGACTTGGAGAAGGAGGTGGTAGAGAATATTCATGACAAACGTCATAGTTGAGGTAATGCCTTTGTCGAACCTCCACCTGGAAAAAAAAATAGTCTAAAGTTAAAAATGCCTTGCACATAGGTAATGACTGGGATGTTCAGTTTAAGATTTTGGCAGATGGACAATGGGAATTGTAGAAATATTGACATTGAAGAAGTAATATAAGGATGAACTAGTGGTTTTAAAGACTTATCTTGCCGATAAATTTATGGAGGTGTTAGAATCCATTGATTCAATTAAGAAGAGAAATTCAGAGGTATACTAGTATTCCTTGTTGAATTATTTTTCTATTTTTTGATAGTTCTGAAATTAATAAGACTTTTTGAAAATTCGGATGTAGAAGCAACACAACAGAGATGTCGAAAAAGATGGAGATGGCGATGGTGATACTAATCAGGATGCAGTCGATGAAACCAAAGAGAAAGAAGGTATACAAGTATATTGTTGTATTATATTTTGGTCTATTTTTGTGTGTTCAACATACTGAATATTTCATGTTAGTTGTGATTCTTTTACGTGTTCTGTAATAAGAATCTTAAAAATGTTTCAGTGTCTGGCTCTCAAGAGGATGCCCATGATATCAATGAAAATGATGGCAATAAAAATAAAAATGTGAATTTAGAAGGGAACAAGGAAGGGACTTCTGGTATTTAACTGTATAGTTCTAAATTTAATTTTTTATGTGTATCTTTCTGACAGTTTGATGTATTTTATGCAGCACCTGGGTTAGTTGATGTTGGAGTTGGTAAAACGACTTTAGAAATGTGGATGATGATAAGTGGTTTAAAATGTGTGACTCGGAGGCTCATAAATTAACATGTGAGCTTGGTAAACAAACCACAACTGAATATCTTTCATTTTGTCATATGCCTAAACAGTCAGGTGATGAAGATGTTCCAGCTGTTGAGATTCGTAAAGAATCAACAACGGAAATGTTTCTAGATTACGAGGTTGAGATGAGCGACTTTTAGAATGAGTCTCAGATTCATAAACTAACTTCTAAGATTGCAAACCAATCCATATGTGTAGGTGTTGCAATTTCTCTACACCAGAAGGTGTTGCAACGTCTTCTTTGTCGATCCAGTCAACATGTGAAGATGTTCAACCTTATGTGGTTTCCGATGACTCAAATCAAAAAGATGCAACAAGAATGAGATAACCTGTTGTACCTCGTGTTCTTGTGAAAGGGGATCACCCTTTTAAATCCTCAATTACAGAAGAAGTTCCTCTATTAGTTAGTCGTGAGTTTTGTCAGTTTCTTGAAAGAAAGTTAATTGTAACTCGCAGGTAATGTTACAGTTTTAGTTATGTTTGATTGTTATTTTTTTTATGATTGTTATTTTGTTTATGATAGTTTTGACTAGTTTATTTATATATTTATTAAATCTTTAGGAAGAAGGTGTACGAAAAGAATGATGATATAATTGAGAAAGAGTTTGATCTTGGAGTTGCATACATAGCTCAGATGACGTGATTTTTGAACTACACTATGCTGGTATAGGTATCAGCTCGACGGTATGTCAACAGACTTTTTTTTTTATTTTTGTTTAGTTGATAGGTGTGTGTATGTATTGGAGTAATACCTTTTTCTTTTGCAGCACTTTGATGTGATATTCTACTACTTCTGGAAGAAAGCTAAATATGAAAATGTGAGGATGACAACGACTGACAAATTGTTTTGGTTGTAGCATTCAAGAGTTATTCGCTAAATCAACTTCAAGGGGCACAAATGTAAGAAACAAGATGCTCGCCTTGACAAAGAAAGTAAAAGAGTATATTCTTGGCTATTACATTATTTGTAACACCCCATGGATCGATGTTGATTATGTGCTTATGCCAATTAATGTAAAAACTGCATGGCATTGGATATTGGGCGTCATGTCTTTCCATGATGGGTGCATTTACATATACGACTCTATGAGATCTGTAAATCATGATATTGTTGTTTGTGAAACATTGTATTCATTTGCTATCTGAAAAGAGAATCTGGTTGATCCACTTCCTCTTTTATTAGTGAAAGACTTGCATGAAGAGGAAAAAGCTTAAGTGGTTATGTTGTTTTATATAATCTTCTTTAGTTTTTGTTGTTTTATTGTTATCTTATTTCTTTTTATTTATGTTTTTATATGTAGTGATTGCGGTGTATCTGTTTGTGCATTTGCAGAGTATATCATTGAAGGTAAGAAGATTCTTGCAGACAATCACATCTTTGATTCTAAACATCTTCAAACCAGATTTGGAACATTAGTATACCATTATGGGAAGAAAAAGCAGGTGAAAAATCTGGTTAGTAAAGATGAAGCCATTGGAAGATTAGACACACCTTGTGTTTCGAAAAGGCGCAACACGAGGAGTAAGAAGTAGTTTTTTAGGTTGTAGGTGTGAGTGATGATGTTGATTAATTAGTACTCTCATACAACTTTTTAGAAAAGTAGTATTATAGTTGTGAGCAGATTACTGATGTACTTTAGGAAATTTCTAGTTTTTTGCTTCTGAGTATGCTATATGCAAACATCTTCTAAACTTCTTTTTAGAAATCTTAAATTTAGTTTTTTGTGATGTAATTGTGCTCCTTCTGCAACTGTTACCTTATGCTAATATCATAACTTTTTGTATGCTTCTATATTTATTTTTTGGCTAATTAATGTAAAAGATATACCAAGACCACTTGGAATACCAATAATTATAGTACACTCTATTATTATAGCAACGACCCACTGAAAATAACAGTAATGATCAAGGATATTGGGAATACAAGTTATCATGGTATACATACAATACCCGTTATTATAGTATACTTTGTAATTATAGCAAAGACTCCCTAGGAATACCAGTCATCATGGATATGTTATACTAGGGGGAATACCAATTATGATGGTATACTACTGGAAATAGTTATATACCAACACTATGAGAATACCGGTGATCATGGTATGATATGTTATACTAGGGGGAATATACTCTAAAGTATACTATCATTACTGGGAAGAGTAGTATACCAACACTATGGTAACACCAAAGTGTTGGTATCATGGTATACCAGTAACCACGGTATACTCTATAGTCTACCAACTATAATGGGAATACAGTAACCGTGGTATACGAAGAATAACAGTATACCAATATTATAGGGAAATACCACTAACTATGGTATACTATAATGGGAACACCGGTATACTATAGCGGTATACCAAAACTATGTATTTGTAGCATACTATCATTACTTGGAAAAGTAGTATTCCAATACTATGGGAATACCATAGTGTTGGTATCATGGTATCCCAGTAACTAGAGTATACCAACTATAATAGGAATACCAGTAACCACGGTATACAAAAAATAGTAGTATACCAACATTATGGGGGAATACCAGTAAACATGGTATACAGTATACTAACACTACTGTGAATACCAGTAATCGTAGTATACTCTGTCGTATACCAAGATTGGGAATAATGGTATACTAAGACCCCCGGCAATGCCAATAAACATGTTATACTACAGAGTATACCAAGACCCCTGGTAATACCAGTAATCGTGGTATTACTAGTATCCTTTGTAGTATACCAAAGACCCATATGAATATCAATAATCGTGGTATTCAATAGAGTTTACCAAGAATAGTGGCACACCAACAGTATGGGGAATGACAGTAATGATGGTATATATTATAGTATACCGAGACTATTTGGAATAATTGGATTAATGGTATTCTCTATAGAAAAATAGTTGGATATATTAGCACCTCATCTCATTAACTGAAAAATAAACTGAAATGAAAGAAAAGAACCTAAAATAGATAAAACCAATATATTTCTTGAACTTTATTCCAGAAAAGTAGATATGAGTAACACTATTACAGTAATCCAATGAAACAATTTGATACTATGCAAATTTGTAAGACATTAAATGTATGTTGAGTTCTTTATGGAAGATTCCTGCATGTTTTACGGTTGTGACCCTCTTGTTCACGTATTCCACATGTAACTTTTGATCTCTTGAATTTTTTTTCATGCAACTTTTTATATCTCGATTTCTGTGGCCTTCCCGGTGTTATCTTCCCCGGGTGATAGCAGATCATACTCTGAGATTTTTGTAGGGATCTCTTATGTAGTTTCATCAGGTATATGATACACTGATTCTTCATAAATCTTAATCAAGTACTCCTTTTGTAGTATACTAAGCAGTATTGACATGGATCCATATTGAATTTCTTAATAATTGTCAAAGCATGCGGATATGGAAGTTCATTCAGTTGAAATCATCTGCAACTACACTTTCTTTCCTCCATACTGACAACATATCTGCTACCTCCATCATATGCTATATACAAAATATTATTTGATGGCTTTACCTACATTATTAAAATAGATATACCATAAATTGTTCTAGCGTAATATCATACAAACTGAAATATATCTAATAAGTATGGTCATTAAAATTATATTGTCATCTTTCGTGGAGAAATAAAGTTGTCTTCTAGCATATCTTCATACTTTTGTCCAACCTATATAAATATTTCTGTTGCGAGCTTTTTGTTACTGTAGTTCCACTCCTTATCCAAATCATGAAATCTAGCAACGGAGTTACTGGGAGATCTTTTGTAGACTTATTGTTGAATTCATGGATTTAGCAATGTTAGATGTCATTATTGTTGTTCTGTTAACTGTTGAATGTGCTCTTGGCCATTTGTTGTATCCAGTATCAAATAGATATTCATGCACCCTCTTATCAATTGTTTCAATCTCTACCATTTGGTCATTGAACTTGTCAATTGTATATGCTTTGGCCATTTTGAAGAATATTTGCACAAGTTGGTTATGACTCTTCTTGAACTTCGCCTTAATGTTGTTCCAGAGGTGAAAAATACAGAAATAATTGGGTACCTCCGGATAGATAGTAGAAGATGCCTTTGTGATACTCTTATGCCTATCTGACACTATGCACATGACATCCCTAAGGACATATGTATCCCTGAATTGCTTGAAGAACCATTCCCATGATGCATCATTTTCTGAATCAACCACTGAATAAGCAAGACAAGAATTTTACTTGTATAAAAAGATTTGAATTATTAATAGTATATCATTGATTTAAGGAAAAAAAAACCTTATAAACAGTATAACATTTGATGATCTATATTTACCTGATGCATCTTGCGTGCAAGCTGTGATTAAAGTTCCTTTATATGATGCTTTCAGGAAAATACCATCAACTACTGGAATAGGCCAACAATACTGCTATCCTTTAATTGTTGCGTAAAGTGAAACAAATAAATACAAGAAGCATCCATCTTCCGACTTGTGCAGCTTAGTAACAGATCCTGGATTTGTTACCTCCAACATATAAAGATATTTCGGCCACTTCCCATATGAACTACTTGGGTTTCCTCTCAAAATTTCAAAAGCCTTTTCCTTTGTCTCCACGCTTGCTTGTAGTTCATGGTGACGTCGTAATCATTCAACATCACGTTGTATGTCACTAACCATACCATGAAAGTTTGGAAAAGGGTGGTGGAAGTGAGGGTGCGAAGGTCGGTGTCTATATCTGACAACCAGTTCGGGTTCATGCCGAGTCGTTCTACCACGGAAGCTATCCACCTTATTAGAAGGTTGGTTGAACAATATAGGGATAGGAAGAAAGATCTATACATGGTGTTTATTGAACTGGAGAAAGCATATGACAAGGTCCCTAGGAAGGTTCTCTGGAAATGCCTGGAGGCAAAAGGTGTGCCAGTAGCTTACATTAGAGCGATCAAGGACATGTATGACAGAGATAAGACTCGGGTTAGAACAGTGGGAGGCGACTCAGAGCATTTTCGTGTTGTCTAGTTAAGAACTCACATATACAAATGATAAAACTAGCAGAAATAAGGATGTTGAGGTGGATGTGCGGGCACACTAAGATGAATAAGATTAGGAATGAAGATATTTGGGAGAATATGGGCATGGCTCCTATAGAAGACAAGATGCGGAAAGTGTAGATCAGATGGTTCGGGCATGTATGGAGGAGCCGGTAAGAAGGTGTGAGCGGTTGGATTTGACAGCTACGAGAAGAGGTAGAGGGAGGGGTAAGGTCTGCGTACACACTACCCTCCCCAGACCTGTACCTGTAGGATTTTACTGGGTTGTTGTTGTTGTTGTTGTCTCTAGCAGTGTACTAACTTTGGGTTAGTATACTTGTGTTTTACCAAGTTTGCCATAACTGTTGAAGTAGCCTGACGTGTATCAAATTTTCAATCAGCTGGGCATGTGTGAAGTTTGTTGAAGCTTCTAACTTTGAACATATGAGACTTGTTTAGCCTTGAGGCTTTAAAACCCCATGAACAATCCTGATATACACAATCAATGAAGTACCTGTTATTATTTAGGTGTAATGTTAGTTTCTAACATATGCCAATTAAAATATGGTATACTATTACAACTTTGAAAGTTAAAAATAAATAGTAAACCTGACTTGTTGAAACTAAGACAAAGAAAACTACAGCAGGCAAAGCAGATTACATTATTAGCTAGTATCTTTGGTGATAGAAATCAGGTGTTGGTAAACTTATTCAAATCCTAATCTCATACACACCTTCTTGAACATGATTTTCGAACTTTGAATTGGAAATTATTCTTGCTTGCGTGATGTTTCATTACATTACGTATGGTCTCCTTATCTTTGAATAACTGACCCACTTCAACCTTTTTGTGTAAAGCATTTGTAATTATATTCATATCATTGACTTTCATATTCTTATCACCCTCTGATTTTCTTGTTGTTAACATATCAATAGCTTCATCTTCATGGTGCGATGCTGCTTTCACGGGCATGCTTTGTATTCTTTGTCAAGACCCAAAATTCCACCACAGGTATCGTGATGTCACTTAGTCTTTAAGACTAGGTAAGCTAATTACTTTCAACAATTAAGTCAGTTTAACAATGATAATTTAAAACATAATTTAATGTGAATGTCGAAACATAAGCAAAATAAGCCCACGCGACAATAATCATAACAACCTCCCAAGACTAGGTAATAGAGAGTCACGAACTCTAGCTGAATAGATGGAAAGATATCAAAGATCAAAACACAATACTGTTCAAATGACAAGCTGACAGTACAATGAAAGGAAAGGACTCCAAGGGACTGCGAAGACCAAGCAGATCTACCTTGAATCCTTGCAATCAATAAGCTAACTCTGCCCAAGTCTGGTATCTCCAATGCCTGGCTCTGCACAAAAATATACATAAGTATAGTATGATTACACCACAATCGATACCCAGTAAGTATCAAGACTAACTTCAGTAGAGTAGTGACGAGGTACAAGTCAAGACACCTACTAGTCAAAATAACTTGTGCAATATAAAAGTATAAAGCTAATAATGGAAAGTAGGAATCAGTAAATGGCAACAAGAATCAACATGTGATATAAGCAGTAACGTAATAAGAACACCGTGAAAGTACCATTGAAACCAAATAAGGGACACAAATGACAACTAATTAATCAAGTCGTTCTAACGCAAGTTTCGCAACGAAATTACTCCGAGATACCTCATCTCATAGCCATAAAT